CCCCCCCGCTAGTTAGCTGACCAGATCAATATCAATGCCACAGACGTTTAAGTGACTTGATGCTCTGATTAGAGTGGTCCTTTAATTTTTGAGCAGTGTATAGATTAGCATTAGTTTGCCAACATCAATTAGAAATCATAATTTATTCTTTATTTCTTTATGTACAAAAAAGACATAAAAGGAAAAAGGATGTAAAAAATTCTGAAAATGAGGAAGAAAGGAGAAATCATTTGAGAAAAAAAAAAAAAGAAAAAAGGCCAAAAATAGTTTAGTCACTGTCTAAACACACAACCGGAACTGAAGGTCACACATTCGAGGGAAACTACACTACATGGTTGAACAATAAGTGTGCAGTGTAATTGTCTGAGCCTTTAAGTCTCAGCTTTTCAGGCTTTCTTACTTTTCTTCTGCATTTACCAGACATCTTGAACTTGCAAGTCACATAGCAAGGATCTTGTTTCAACCCACCTGTTTGTTTGTCCTTTAATGCAGTTTTGCACATTTCTATTCGAGCAGAATGATAGGGAACATAGCGATCCTGCAGTGACCCCACTAGCACCACATTCTTGAAAAACTGCAAACCTAGAAAGGTGTATGAGTATAAGGTTTATATATATATATATATACACATCTGATCTTCCAAATATACAAGCGAAAACACATCTGGTTTAATTAAAAAAAAATTAAATTAATTAAATTAAAAATTAATTTAAAGAAAAAAAAGAAAAAAAAAAGCTTACCAGATTTCTTGCTGAGCTTATAGAGGAAAGTTTGGCGAGGATCAGAGTGATCACGACATGTCAGCTGCAAAAGTGACCCAGACTTTTTCCACTTCTGCATGAACCAAAGGCCTAAAAACGAAGTTATATTAGTTATTTAACAGGATCCATCACTATGACAAAAGAGACAAAACACACACAAAAAAATAAATAAACAGAAAACATCAGCTGACTAAAATATGGAATCTCTGAAAATACAGTCAACTCTTCTGACGTTCACCTGTATTCACCAGAGCAGAACTGTTGTATAGTGTCCCCAGGTGAGGCCCGGAAAGGGAAAGAAAAGTGTGTAGCTTGTTCAGGTAACATTTAAACCTGGGTCTGGTCAGCACTGAGCGGACTATGAGGTTTCCCAGCGAATGACCGACAAAGCTGCAAAGGATACATCGATAAAAAATAAAAAAATAAAAATGTAAAGACAGCAAACAACATTAAAATGGAACACTTTCACTGACATACTTTAACAGCATTAGACATGCTTTTGGAAATCAGTTAACTGAATCACCAACTTAAATCTAAGTTCAATAAAATACAAGCAATTTCTTAATAATTATGTTATGATATTAGATTTGGATTAACAGAATGCATTACCTTATCTTTGACACTGTAAGGTTGTATATCTGAATGTACTGGACTATTTCATCCAGCAGTCGGTCCGTCATTGACTCAAAGTCAGCAAAGGTGTCATTCTGCAGATAAAAATAGTATTAAATAAACAACGCAAAAACCCCCAAAAAAACATTTTCCAGGTTTATTTTCATATCTATACCTGATTCCTCTCCGACATTAGAAAGTCTATACGAGCACCAGGCAGTCCAAGCTCCAGGTAGGTCTTCACAAGTCTGAGGTCTGCACTGTTACCTGCAGCAATAAAGGGAACAAAATGCATCCATTAATTTATTTTTTTTTTGAAACATTATGTTTATTAAAGTTTTACATATATACATATATAAAGTACATACACAAACAAATTTACACAATAAACGAAACACAAGGTACATTCAATGAAAGCACTTGAGTCCATGAGACCTCTGACAGATTTTAAAGAATAATTTTCAGATTGCAGCATATGGTTGTGGTCCTGTACAGGGAATAGCTATCCATTAATTTTTTAATAAAAAAGCAAACTGATTTCAAAAGCAACTCTCAGAACTTTTTCTTACCATCCAGGCCATGGACACAGACTATGAGATGGATGCCTTCTTCACAGCTTTCATCTTCCTCCATGCTGAAATAGGGCACAGTGGATGCCAGCTCAGGCACCTCGCTGTACAAGAACCCAGGAAGCTTTAGCTGCTTCATTTCTTCCTTGGCCTTAATAAACCTGCACAAAAAAACCCCAAAAGCCACAGGTGGATGAATATTTATCTGTAACGTGTGAAATTTGACAAGTGTGTGCATGAAGACATTAAGTGATATTTTAAAAAGAAAAAAGAAAAAAAGATGACTCACGCTTTCATCTGTGGTGTGGGTGCGCACTCATACCACTGCAAGCTTGAAGAAAGGGAAGTGGCTGAATAAGGAGGTCTTCCGAAGCTATATCCAACACTGCTGGCGGTTATGTTTGAGCAGATCGGAGCTTTTGATAAATCTTTTGTTTCATGGAGGTAGCCAATGCCAAGTTGTTCAAATGAAAGATTTGTCTCTTGAGCAGCTGCATCCCCAACCTGCTCATCATCAGCAACACCATTCACAAAAGCGTAGCCGTCACCTTCCTCATAGTAACCATTCTCTATCATCTCATGCTCCGTCTCATCCTCATCCTCCTCAACCTGTGGTCCTGCCTGAATTCCCAGTGTGATAGCAGATGTTTCTATAGGGCTGATCTCAGACACATCTGTGCTAGAGCATGAGCCGAAGTAGTTCTCAACCATTCCACGTTTTACCAGGTCAGTGCTACTGGTGGTGGCAGAGTTACTGGAAGGGCAGGCTGTATGAGGTTCACTACGGGACTCCTTATATCCAGAGCTGGCTGCTTCCTGTAGTCCCAAGTCAGAAATACATATTAATTTGGGGTCTGTTTCCAAATCCAAAGAAGGCTTTCCAAGTTGGGAATCCCCTGTAACAGTGTCAGGTTTGCAGGCAGCATCAGGCCGTCCGCTGATATCTCCAGAAAAGACTAAACTCTGCTCCTGCACCAAGATGCTCGATTTCCTGCCACGGACTTCAGCTCCACTGGAGGCCCTAGAGGAGCCTTCACCTTCATCATCTGAAGGCAAGGAGTTGATGGAAGTGAGAGATGACTGGACTCCACTGACAGCGCTGATGCTTTCTGGGTACAGAATTTCTCCAGCCCCTCCAGGCTTCTGCACTGTGCTATGCTGAACAGGTCGTGGTGCAGAACTCTGGAGGGCCCTCTCAGGCTGTGGGGCCACAGCAACACCTGATTCCCCAACACATACGCCAGCACAGGTGTTTTGTCCTAGAACAAGCTGAGTGGCAAAGGAGCTGGGCTCACTTTCAATGCCTGAGTCTGAGAGGCGAGATGAAGCACTGGGGGCTCCTCCGTCTGTTAGTCGGATACAATCACTCTTTACCTGTACTGAGACTACACAGGACTGGCTGCGCTGCGCTGTCTCTTTACTTGGCCTTTCAAATACAGATTCCACAAAAGACTGTTGTGAGTAACAGAGGTCTGTCTGGGTAATCTCAGGAATATTACTGTTGACTCTTCCTTCAGCCTGACATGGTAGAGCCATTACTTTATCATGTTGGTATGGGTCCTTGTTACTTCCTTCCACCTCATTTTGTTTTAGTCCAGCAGACCATTGTGGCATCTTTTGGCCACTGTGGTCTTGTTTGTCTTTTGGAATCGGTTGGTTACATGTAGCAACAGCCCCAGTACCCGCCTGGGGATTACTCTGAGTGTCCAAGATTGTAGGATTTGTAAAAATACCTTTCTGACAAGCAGCATTACTTACATTATTGTCCACAACAGCATCATCAGCACGGTTTCCAGAATGTACTGATGTGACAACAGAGTCGAAAACAGAACTGGCATTAGTCCTTAAATGACTAGTTGTGTCCCCCAGTAAAGTACCTTGTTCCTCAGCTTGGTTAAGGGCAACTTCCCCTTCTTTGTACTTTGAGCTGCTGGCACTATAGGGAGCTTTGAGGTTCTTATAGCCCACCAAAACCACAGAGTCTTTAGAGCCTTGTCTAATCAGCTTCTTAGAGTTTTCAGCCTTTGAATTTTTCTTCAGTTTGACTGACTTGCCTTTGGACTTAGGTGGTGGATCACAGTTGTCAGGCCAGGGGTTATCCACAGGGGCACATCGTGACTCAGGTATTGGGCTGGCTGCTGCACTGAGGTCCTTTGCATTAGGCTTGTCTGTTTTAGCAGAAGCTGAGCCAGTCCTTGTATTGTGCATGCCCAGCCAGGGTCCATCCCGATCTTCAAGATTCAACCAAGTTAAACCGAAAAACAACAAAAAAAAAGCCCCAAAAGGACACAAAACAAAAATATAAATATATTTAAAAATCAGAAACATACCTAATTAAACAAAATAATGACTAAACAACAAAACAATTTTACTGACCTTCAGTGATAGAGTCCAGGTATCTATCCTCAAAGATGATTGGTAGTGAGCTAACATCACCATCCAGGTCAGCACATTCCACTGGAAGTGGAGGCAAAGACAAGAAGTAGCTGGAGCTTTTGACCGCATTAGTCATCTGTTGGTGACTGTGAGCACTGAAGGAGGGAGCAGAAAGAAAAAGAAAAAAAAAAAAAAAAGCAGACAACAACTCAAATAGAGAAAAGTTATAGTATGTCAGGCAAGTAAGTACTGGTCCAGGCCTGATAAAAGGAATGCTACATTTCACAATCAAGGCACGCATGCCAACTTGACTTACTGTAACTCCTGATATGCCAGTGCGGATTGTCTTGGATGTTCAAGACAAAAGAAAGCCTCAGCAAACCGCCTGACCTGTAATAACAGTATAAAATAAGAATTCAGTCTATACTGTGGAGGTAAGAGAATAGTTCTGGATCAAAACTGTAAAGATTATCACCACTAGCAGATATCTAGCAAAATGTTTAGTAGGTTTAAAAAGTTGAACTCACTCTTAGTGTATGATGCTCCACAGCTAGTATGGCTGCAACATGCTCCTGCAGGGACACAACCTCTAGGAATTGTCCCCAGAGAGCCATGAGCAGAGAGCAGAGTTGAGCCAGGTTCATATTAACTAGTTCTGCCAGCTCATCAGGTGACTCTGCTTTTTGCTATAAGTACAAACATACAAGTCAACCATCAGGGGGCTCAAGTTAGCAATAAACTAAAAGCAAGTTTCAAAATGTACAATCACAATATACTCAAAAAGCTCACAAAATGTACAAAACATGCTCTATTACTTTTAATGCAGAGAGGGCACAACTATCTGGGCCGGATTTGAGGGAGCAAACTGCAAAAGACTGGTTATCTGATCTACATAAATATGAAATACTTTCAGTTTCAAATGCTATTCAATCAACTCAGAAGCAACACAATGCCTGCTCACAAATGCCACAGACGCAATGGTATCTTAATAATTTGCTGACACACCTTGAGCCATTTGGTATAATAAAAGATTCCCATCCTACAGCAAATAAAGCTTTCTATGCAACCCCCCCCCCCCCAAAAAAAAAACAAAATACCCCACACACACAACAGAAATGAACAGGCCTTACCTTGACTTGTTCACATAACTCAGTCAGACGGGCCTCTAAGTCAAGTTGTTCTGAGGAAGCAAATTCAACAAGTTATTTAATCATACAGAAATCTTCTGACCTTGTAATCCGACCACATTAAGAAAGTTTTATCAGAGAAAAGTATAAGAAAGTATTTTTAAATGTGTTATGAAACTCTTCGTCCAAAGCCTGGTTATTAAGGTGGAAAGAAAGGATGAGTATACAGAAATTAAAAAGGTGACAGTAGCTTATTTTGCTTCTAAAGAGTGGGTTATACAGAGGCCATGGTGCTTTCAACAAGGAGGAAAGTGAAGTGAAAAGAAAAAAAAAAAGCGGGAAAAAAGCAAGCGGAGTTGAGGTACAGTACTTTGGGACATACCTATGTAGACGTGCCTTTGACTTCGGGGATAGGGTCTTCTGAGTACTCGCTCATAAAGGACTTGCATGCTGGGCTTGGCTAGTAAAATTGCACATATAGTCATGTTTAACCTTTTTCATTATTTTTTCCCCTAGGATGGGTTACTATCTGCCAGTTGTGTGGATTGGGTTTCCCAAGCCATAATTACAACAGTGAGTTGTGTCTGGCTTTAATCTACTGGTTACCAGACTTCCCTACTGGAAGCAAGTGTTGTAAGTATAATGAACTAAGATCACCTGATTAGATCTCTAAAACAACTCAGTAAGCTGCTTGTGCAGTCAGTTTAAAGGCCTTAATGTGATAATGTGTAGGGATCAAGTGAAATGATATGGCCTCACAATAAACTTGGACACAGCAAACACAAAAGAAAAACAAAAACAATGACAGTCCACTGATTGCAAAAACAATGATTAAGAAGCTATAAGTATTATATTTAATTGTGCGTAACTCTGAGAAAATGTTTTTTTTCCTCAGAGGCTATAAGTTTAAAAAGAGTGCAAAAATAAATATAAATTCTTATTTAATTAAGTCTTGTATTTAGGGATAATGCATTGCTTTACAGCTTGCAGTAACAACACTGTTGATGCTGATATTAATGCACAACGCTGCATACCTAATTCCATACGATGAGAGGAGGGCAGGTCCTTAGTAATGGAGGTGAAGTAGCCAAAGAGGCCCTGGTAGGCTATTAGGAGATTGGAGCAAAGGTTATGGTGCAGACTGAAGGCATGCTGCAGACACTGGTCAGATACCAAGAATGTCCTGCCCTGAGGAACAAAAATGGGAAAGAAAATGCTATTAAAAAAAAACAACAACAACAACAACTCTGTGAACATTATTATTACCTTAACATTGTAGATAAGTCACTCATTAGCCACTGCCAAAACAGAAACTCTTGGACATAGGGGGGAAAAATATACATTTGTTGCCTCTATTTCAAGTTTTACTACTCAAAAAAGTGCCCATGAAGAGGATTTAGAGGCACCTGTTTTTAGGGTTGGTAGAGCATTTGACTGATGTATAACATCCTCAAAGAATTATTCTAGAAAGAAAATGATTTAAAAATGCCTCATTACTCTGGTGTTACAGTACCTCCACAGAGCACTATGAATCATAACAGATTATTCTGAGTTACTTCCAGGCATTTGTTTTCCTTATAATAGTTACTTTACAGTGGCTGCTGTACACCTTGTTGTCAAATGTGTCGATGGGTTATCCCCATGCTGCATATTAGTGGAGTGATGAGGGGAACTGCAAGTGTAGACTGATGTGTAGAGCTGTGAAATTCACCACTATGTCAACATAATAATCAAAGTCTACATTTTCTTCCTTATAAGAATATAACTAGGGTTCCACAACATATTGCACACTGAGTACTAGATTGCAGTCATTTTTTACTTCACTTAATGCAGTCTTTGTACTATTTGTGGAACAACACAATACAAAAAAAGGCATCTTTTAGATCAACTCTGAGGTGCACAATCATCTACAAATAAAGCAAATATTTCCAGATACATTTGGTTTGCTATAAGACAAGACCACTTACATCTGGCGATACTTGCTTGACATAAGTGCTGCCAAACACGACATTCTCCAGAGGTGGGATGACTGAGTCTTTGCTCTGCGCTGGAGCATTGCGGTTAAGCCATGTAGATTTGACGGGTCGAGGTAAACTAGGAAAAGAGACGCTGAAGTCAAACTCATGCAGACACCACAAGATTTTAGTAAGCTTTTGACTACTTTATATTTAATTCTAACCCAAAGTCATAAGTTATCTTAACTGCTTCAAACAGACAATCTTGTGGCATGTTTAAAAACAATTTTAAAAAGGCATTATGTTGAAGTTTGCTGCATACAGCAAAGCCAAATGACATCATAAAATCATGTAAGAGCTTCAAGAGCTGTGCTTGAATTTTCAGTAAGGTAAATCACCCCTTGTCTGACCTGATAAGGGGCTGATGTAGTGCCACAAGGGAGGCATGGATGGCTACCGAGATGACAGACAGGTGGAAGTAGTCAAACATGACATTGATGTGTTGGTGGATGCCTCGCTGAAGGCTAAAGTGCAAACGAAGTGTGCGACCACTGATATTCTGTAGAGAGTTTGGATCATCTGGCCTGCATAAATTATATAATAAAGAACCTTAGAAGTGCCTTATTTGCATAAGAGATGCAAATGTCAAAATTATAAAACACTGTATAATGCACACGAAATATTTCAACACCTACGTGTAATCACCATCTGTGAAATATAAATCCAAGAAGAGCTGGAAATCCATATCATTGAGGGACTCTTCTACCTGAAGAGAATGAAAAACAGTAATTGGTGGTTAAATAGTGAACTTCAAAGCCTGCGTGCAAAAAGCAACATGTGCCGGGCTGATTTGAAGCTACCAAGATGTTTTTTTGTAATTTGATGGTATCAACTCTAATAAGTCTAATACATTTTGAAACCGTTTGTTTGTTTGACCTATGCCCCAAGAGCACACCAGGTGTCAAAACAGTTTCTGCTGTTCTAACAGAATGCACTAAACTCCACATATCTGTTTATTCACTGGAAAAGCAAAGTGGCACAAATAAGTTAGAAGCAATTTCAGAGAAGACATTCATTCTGACAGCTGCACTGCTTTGGGTGAGTAAGAAAGAAAAATCTCTTTGTCTCCATTTCTGTGATATTCTGCAGACGCATCATGCTCATACTGTACTGCTTTTGGCTGAAGGCAGCATCTGGATTTCCAAATTGTGCTCCTGTGTCTGAAGGAGGAATTACCCAGCATTTCTACCAAAAACATGTTCCACACTAACTCTTTAGATTTTACTTTATAGTTAGGACAATGAGTCTATGATTCCTAATTTGACAAAAATGTTTTTGCCTGTTAAGACAATTTTTTTTTAATATAAATGCATATTAAATTAACAAGACAAAATTGACAAAATTTGTTAAAAATGTTTTATTACAACCTCTTTGCATGTTTGTTGCACATTTATTTTGATTTTCCTCTCTGCAGGGAGGGAAAAAAAGAAGAAAGAAATCTTACTCAACATCCACATTTTAAGCTGCTTTTTTTTTCCCTTTCCTGAAACACAGAATAGGGAAGCGCAACTCCAGATGGTAGATGTTTGTATGGAGGACTCGCTCTCAGTTTCATAAACCACAGACACAACAGTATCCAATACAGAAAAACAAGAAACCTTTAACGCCGACTATATTTAGCTGTGCAACAGCCGGTTCTGCTTCATGTGACGTATTGGCAAATACACTGTAATAAATAAATGCCTTGTATAAGTAAAAACAACATATTTATTTTCTAAACGTACCCTCTTTTCATCAAGCAGCATCATCACTTTGAAGAGCAGGACATCATTGACAACAACCTCTTCATTTTTATACAGGATCTGGAACGTTTTGCTGCAGATGACGTCATCTTGGACTGATGCAGGAAACGCCAGATCAGAGCCTAGACAAAACTATGATGATTAATTGCGGGTCCATGAAAAATTATCATTAAAGAATTATAACCTATCCTGCCCTAACATTACTATTTCTAAAGATAATGGTGTTTCTATTATCGTTAGAAACACTAACACCATGCATGTAATGGTATCTCTACAATCTACATTGTAAATTATGTCACAAGATATATCTTATGTCTGTAGTTGCAGTGGCAGATTTGGTCCTAACAACAATTTTACAAAATAAAGATAAAACTGAAATCAAAACACCTATCCCCTACCGAGGACCCTATATGTCTGACACAAATGTTTTGTATTAAACAACAGTTACATTTTCTAAGGCAGATAAACAAAACCTTAGATAAACACTGAGAATAAAAATGGTATAACATACACCAAGTCTACCTGACTTTTTAGCAAAAGTTAATCAACATCACCTATACAGTTACAGGTATAAATCGAGCCCTCTGATATGAAAATTAGCCATGTACTACTTAATGCATACTGCAGGCTACCAAAGCCTTATTTAATGGCTTTAATTAGGAAAAATCTGAGAACAGTCACTGCTTCGGGTTTACCAATATTAATGCAACTTTTGAATACATATTTTAGTTACTATATCAAATTAGGCAAATGTATTAATAAAATATTGCCTTTTCATGACAGAGACATTACAGACCACATTTTGCTTCCCAATCAATCACACTTTGTCTTTAGTATTCTGCATGATGTTATCATTCATCATTTACATACCACATTTTAAAGAACTTACCTCCTGGGTGAAGTAGACTGGCCTCAACCTTGTGTGGGACGCGGGGTGGCACCTTAAGACTGGCACGCAGCTGGTAGAACCTGTAAATACATAGAAATCTTTTACCTCTTTCCCTGATAAAGATGACATTTGACAACCTCCCCTGCACACGACAAGTTTTGATAGCCTTGCTGCACAGGCAGAGACCACCTTCATTAACGTCTGATGAACACCCAGACATTTTATTCTATAAGCAGGCCGGAAATATAACAACGACTGCTCAGTTCAGCAAAAACGATTCAGGTTTTTAAACCTTTAAAAGCCCACTAGTAGTAAAGAGCTAAAATGAAGACATCCGTGAAAGACAGCTCTACGTGCTTGGTGAACATTATTAGACACGCTGTAAAAGGGGAACAAACTGCACAGGTTAGCTACAAGTGCTTCAACTTGTAAAAGGACACTTCACCTCTAATAAATGAATAATGAGCACTTTCTTTTGCAGTCACTCATGTAGTAAACCTAGGCTCTTAAAGCACTGATGAGTCAGGAGCTTTGGGCAGGAGTTTTATCTCAGCACTGGGACATATCATTACAGTGCTGTTATAAAAAATAATTTCCAGATGTTAAAGATCAAAACTGCAGCTTAAAAAACACAAGTCACTTTTCTTCCTTCCTTATGCTTCCATTAAACATTGCACAGCGCTGGACATGTACAAAAAGAAAAGAATGTCTGCATGGGGTGTATTATTCCAAACTGGCAGGATGACGGAAACTTTGGACACCATCCTGCCCAGAGCCACGAGGAATTGTATTAGGGACCAGGAAGTAACAGCTCAAGTCAAAGGGGAAAGTTGGACTGAAGCTTCCAAATGAAGACAATAAAAGCCAGTAAGTGGTTTATTTAGAGCAATATGTACTATGCTGCTAAGTGAGCTCAGCCCATAAAAATGATAAATGTATCTCTTAAATCTGACATGATGACCTCAAGCTCTGCCTTTACATTACTACTTAGATCCAGTCTGGCACATACATAGTATGCTGTAGTTAAAACAATATATTCAACCAAAAATATACAATCACCAATTTCTAGAGACACCAAATATTGGTATTTTAATAAATACATTAAAATACTTTGGGGATATTATGAATAAGAGGGCTCATCTAATGCACCACCATCCCGACATAACTTTAAACTGGGAAAAAAAAAATCCTCCAACACTGGACACAAAGCTTGACGAAGCTACGTCCTAATTCAGAGCAAGCAGTGGCGCAGTCACACGAGTAATAATAGGACAGCAATCCCCTTGAATGCCCCCCAAAAAAGTGGCTGCCTGGTTATTGATTCTTTTCCCCTCCACATTTTGTGCCAGATTAATAAGTAACATATGTTACTGAAATACTCATAGTATAATCACGTATACTGTGACTTTGCATAACTGTAAAATGTTAAAGTTGTAATAATATCATATTGTGGGGTGATTCCCACCTCTAATTAATTTGGTTTCTAAAATTATCACCAAATACAGCCAAGTAGCCAACCTGTGCCAGATCAAATGTTATTCTGCTGTACCACAGTCAGCTATCTTTTACAAAATTTAAACACATTTGCAAAAACAACTTTATCTGTTTTTGTTTATTCAAGTTATTTTTGATTGTTATTCACAGCATGCTATATTTAGGCATCCTAAAGCATCAATGCTCATGCTTCAATTAACGGTAGATCATTTAACTATTTTACCACGCCAGCGGCAATATGATAATCAAGATGCAAATTCAAATTTAATGAGTCAGAAAAGAGGAACTCCTCCACATTTGTATTCACATGGTATACTTCACTGCATGACTTCAAAAGTTACTCAACTTCTTTACCGAGTACTTTTTACAAACTGTAAAAATTACAGTTTAAATATATTTACAGTATGGTCTTTATCTCCATTATCACTGTGGTGTAATAACAACAATTATCAAAACAAAGCGGTAGATTTACATATCTGAAAAAGTATAGTCAAGTACTGATTTGCATATTCTGTACTGTCTGTACAAGAGCATTTGTGAGTGCCCTGAAGGTCTGAACAACATTGCCAAGTGTCCTACATTGGCTGGGACACTCAGAGAACACTTCCTGATCCTCTCTAATGCAAACTGCAAGACAAAGCTTGTTCGGGTTTCTTCAAAAACATTCCAGCACAGTTGAACAATATTTAGCATAGCACATTGTAAAAGTAGATAAATATATTCTGGGGAAATCCATGTCATGGATAAAATCCATCTTAGACTCATGCCAGGAAGAAAACATGGAATTACTTTTCCCAAACACTCAGACAAAACTCACCCTCTCTGGAACAGGTCCACATTGTAAAACTTGTGGAGCTCCACAGAGAACTCCACTGTGGCCTGGACTTCAGTCATCTTGGTCTCTACAGGCAGAGGTGCCTTACATCATCTGGGATACACCTGTAGGCCTGCAGGCAAAAGTAATCAAATTAGTCATTTCAGTTCCAGCAATCAGGTTATTGCAAAACCTTTACACTTGAAAATGCAGTATTTAAACTCAGTTAAACTGAATGAGAACTTCTAAAAAGCTGTAAAACGACTCACCTAGGTTTACAAAAAGAAACCCAAGGTCAAATCAGTTAAAAGAAAACATCACCAGCAGTCACAAGAGTGAGTTTAAGAATATATAACAGTTGGGTTCATTTTTAGAGAAGTTATTAGGACATAAGGTCTAAATTTGGCACACGAGGCATGCCGTCCTCTGGGCCTAATTAGTTAACAGCCCATAACAATTATAGAATTGATATGACAGGATAAGAGAAAATACTATTAATAACATTGCACAAAATAGCCCTGAAATACAATATTACCAAATGGTAGTGTTAGAAATACACACAGACCTACTTTAGACCTTATGTAAGACAAGGGTGTATAGTATTTCTGGCCGTAGCCGAGACAAAATAAAGCTGGCAAAAACAATCATGCAGACGCTTGCTAAATTAGTCATATATTAAATTAATAAATCATCCACTGGGAGATATAATAGCTGTTCATGCCAGTGAAAAGAAATGAGCTACAAAAGACCACCATGAACTTGATCGGGTTAACACAGATGCCTGACAAGATCCAAGGTTAATATCCCTTTCTGAATTCTGTTGCTTTAAAAAACACAAAACAACAACAAAAAAAACCCTCCTGCAAATTAACTGGGCACAACACAGAGGACATACAAGGACACCGTCGGGTAAATTTGCCTTTGTGGTCATGTTTGTTTTGGGTATCAATTCCCTTTGCAAGCCTAGCATAAATACTTTATGGTCATACTGAGTTTGCAAGTCAACTGATTAACTAGTTTGTATGAATCGAGCAGCCAAATGCAATTCATACCAGACTAAATTAGATCAAATCAGTGACTGCAGCTTTTGTTAAGCTTTTGGTAACTAAGCTGCAAGACCTATAATAATGTGATGGAAAACTTGACATCGTTACCCTGTCAAACAGTTCCCCGCTGTGTAAATGTTTCAGTACACTTTGATAACATTATGGATTTATGATGCACTGAAAGTTTGGTATTGGGATTGTAGCAGCAACTGGTCTATCAGGTTTAGTCTTTAGACAAAAGCCCATCTCCGACAAGGTATGTAAGCAAAAGTTATATACGTGGAGAATACAAAAGATTAAGTAAGGCGTTGACCGAAATCCTGAAGCATTGCTGTCAATACACCAAACAACCTGCCAGTGCGAGCTGTATCCACTGAAACGTTTGTTCAAACGTAACAATAACACAAAACTGTCACAAAAAACACACCACCAAAACAAAATTACATATTTCCCCGACCAACAACCCGGCGATTGGTGATAAGACGATGTCTCCGGCACTTAAGAAAATGTAAGACACCTCAGGGAAAGTAAAATCTAAACATCTAGTTCTGTTAAAATATACATGACAAGGCCTTAAGACGTCGGTCGGCTCGATGGTTTCTTCTAGAGCCAACAGCTAAAACCCCAAACCAATACAGACAAGGAAATAAACAGCTGTTTAAGTTGTAACTTAGCTTTAGGATTTAGATGCTATAACTATAAGGAGTGAGGCAGCAAAGGTCTCTAGCTGAAGGGTAGAATCTTTGCAAGGATTTCATTTCGGTTACAGGTGGGAAGCTAACAAAACATATTTTCCCCCAAAAGGATCAGAAAATGTTAGGAAAACAATCGGCAAAGACAATACACTTTAACAGACCACCCCCCTGAAAACAGTCTCCCTTGACAGTGCCTTAGCTAACGGTAACACTTAGCAGGGCTAGCCACCCACTGAACAGTTGCCACCGGGTAACATTAGCTGCGCAGTCAAGCTAACGCTACTCACCATTTCGCTGGGAAGCTAACATTAGCCGGCTAACCAACGTTAGCTCAAATTTCAGTCCTCTCGCCGTCCTCTCACAGTGAAGTGCGGACTGAAAACAATGCCCCGCTGACTGGTTCTCCTCCCGGCCCGGTCAGCTTCATAGAAAAATTGGCGTTAGAATGTTACACAGCGTCACTCGTCCATGTAGTTATGTCTGTGAGCAGTGTTTGCTAAGCAGGGAGCTAACTGTGCTCAATCTGAAGAGCTGACAGCAGACGCTGCTCTAGCTGTACGCCTCTCAACTGCGCGTAGCTGCACATACCGGAGACGCAGCTGACATGCAAAACTACTACCGTTAAATGGAACATCGCAAAGTTCAACAAGCACACAATAATAATAATTAAAATAAGAAGAAAAAAAAGGGTTTTTTCTCCAAAGACGTATGTTTATTTATGTTGTAAAACTTTTGCATAACACTGTCACTTTTTTAAGGCATAATCCAGCCTGTTCATTGTTCTTGTGACATCTAATTCACTTACTCAGTTTAATTTACTTTCATTTAATTCATTTTATTTTTGATAGCCAATGTCACAAATAGAGGTGCAGACATAAAAGCATTTTAGGAAATGTGGTCAGTTACATGTACAAAAATAAATTTAAACAAACCATCCGAAATACATACATACATAAACAACCCCACACAGAGACTTAAATATAATACAGAGGTAAAGGAAATAATTCATATATAAAATCCCTTGAAACACCAAATGCCAGTGTAATTAAAACGATATGCATATAGTCTGTGTCTGCAAGAATACCAAACATGGCTGGACTCTGTAGGTACAGGTGGTATTATTAAGTGGAAGCACTAGTTCGATGTCGATGAAGATTTTTTGCTCCTTAGATTCAATAAAAAGTCCAGATAAGGTTGAGTCTAAAGGTCTCTGACATGATTTATGTATGCATTTGTTTAATTTATTTATCTCTTCTTCTCAGTAAGCATGGACTCTGAGAAGCAGAAACTGAGAAGAAGAAACTCGGACTCTTACCTTCCAAAAAGATCACATCACTGCTCTGGTCTGATCACCAAGCCCAGATCTAATCTAACTCATCAGTGTAGAGTTCACTTAATATATATCACTTCAAGAAGTTTTTTTTAAAATGACACAACAGAAGGAGGAAATGTGGGGGAGACGCAAAAATCCACAATCAACAGTTTCATTTCTTATTCATAATCACTGGTAATCTTGAAAAAAAAAGGGTCCAGTTTCTTAGAAATCCACACAAGACATTTCTTAGGCTCTGGGTGTTATGACTACTGTGAAAAATGCAAGTCCTGCACTTTATTGCCTTCTTCTAAGAACAAACACAGCTTGAATACTTCCCTGGTCAGAGTCTCTTGATTTTCACTTTGGACTGTACTGGAAACAATGTCGTCTGAATACCATGCAGCCACAGAGATCACAAAGAATGCAGTCCCAAAAGTTCAGGGGGAATTATGTCACCACAGGGTAACATGATCTTTTTCACAACTACATTTTATTTAGCATACACAATGACGCTCATAGAATTACAAATGGGGTACAATACAGAGGTTATATATGCCTGAAGTAACATTAAAGGCCTAAAATAAAATCCAAGGTGGGTGCAAGAGAACGGTGAAGTTGACACTGCAGAGACTGTTGACTCACTCCTGCAAATAAATAACAAAAGCCAAGCTTATAAGAGACCTCTCACTGAGACCCGAAGCTATTTACTTCTGCTGACCGAGCAACACTTCAGCGTTTTTTGGTTTTTTTTGCTCACTACTGGAAGAAAATCAGAAAATAAATCCTGCAGCAGGTAATTTTTTTAAATGGGTGGAATCGAAAGGTAAACTTTTTACTTAATTACAACAGCAAGAATAATACGAGTTGTGTCTGGCTGTGCTGTCAGAAACCTGAACCAAGGATTTCTTCTGATTAACTTCCAGAAATATCCTGCTCTATTCATTGTGCTGCTGCTATATGATCCCACTGTGCCTCTGCACTGGACTTCATTCCCAGAGTAAGTAATCTTCTGAGCTGTATGGTGCAATTGCTGACAAATCAATGACACATGAAGCTGGCATTTCATTAAAAAAAAAAAAAACAGGAGCAAAGTAACAAGATTACCAGAGCAGTGCATCCCCTCAAATATGAGTCATGTTCGGTATCTGTCAACCGCAGCATACTACACATATTAATCATTAGTTTGTGCTTGTGGCAGCTGTTCTTCTTTGCTGAAACTGTTTCTTTGAGATGCATGATCTTCTTAACATGTTAAATAATTGTCACATTTTTGTTACTCTAAACAGTGTGGTCTGAGTTTATAGTGCTCTTTTCTATAGCCAAAAGACTTGGACACCCGCATTTATTTTTATAAGTATCAGTAAATCAATAAATCGACATGTATTGACTTAGGCACTTACTTCACGACCTTCTTTCCCATTAGGTTTACACTATTTGTTTTCCTTCCTCTCTCCATATGTCTTCCCTCTTTACCGCATCCTGTTCTTATCTATATTTTATTACATATATCCAGCATATGGGTATGTGTAGAAGCACTAACATCACTTGATTAGGAGCTTTTTTTTGTGCAAGTACATATAAATGTAGATTCAAATGTTCACTGAATTCTCAAAGTATATTAAATTGCCAAATATATATATAAGTGTAACGCTACAGCATCAACCCAGAGTTATACATCTGGGGGGAGTGAGGTGTTTTATGCAATGCTGAGACTCATGTTGGCAAACAGAAAAAGGAAAGATCCTCTTCACGCTGGAGGAAAACCTTAAACTTTCTGCACAGATGTGTAAAAACAGGCAAATCTAGAACTGAAGCGTTAAAGAGAATATGGCAAACAGCCAGAGATAGTCTAATATTTATTCAAGGCACTGGTGCTGCTTTCCAAACACTGAGCTTTTATTCCCTTCTACAAAACACACACACACACACACACACACACACACA